CTACAACAAAACGCGCCCTCCGGCGATTTCCGGGGTTTGTAAACTTTTGCAGGCGCTTCCTCCCCCACTGCGCCAAACTTCTACAGCCATCGGAGACACTGCTTTGCACCCCTAAAGACGAGAAATCAACGTTGCCAGAATCCCCGGAGGAGTCGATAGCATTCAAGAGCGTAAAGAAAACATTCGACGACGTCATACTTCTCGTACAGCTGTCACCAGATGCACCAACGTGCTGATGGTCAATGTTTCGGATGTCACTGTCGGAGGTGCGCTGCAGAAGATCGGTAATATAGGTCTCCCATACCATTTTTCTTATGTAAACTGCAAAACGCCGTGGGGAATTGCGTACCTTCAGAAGAAATCTGCTTGCGGCGTACTCAGCTGCCAAACACTTTCGATTCTTCCTCGAAGGACGTGGCTTCTTCATAGCCATGAATAACAAACCGATGATTTAGGCCAAACATTCATCAAACCAAAATCATTTCCCACGAGAGGTAAGACATTTCTCCTTCATTGCGGAATTCACTTCCGATATCCGCCTCGTGAAAAGATAACACCGTCGCAGACACATTAACACGTCTGGAACTGGGTGCCCTCAGCAGAGAGAAAGAACAGTTCATCTACTCTGAGCTGGCTGCGGCTCAAGCAAAGGACGAACAACTTCAATTCATCATAAAGACCGGTAAGTCCCTCGTCCTCAAAGAAGTCACCTTCCCCGATCATGGTAACACCTTAATATGTGATACTTGAACAGCAAAACCTGCCCGCATCTGCAACACCTACTGCACGATGCGGTGTTTGTTTGTTTGCATGAGTTTCTTTGAGACAGACTTGCTAAAATCTCAGGGGTCATGGCTAAAGACTTTAAGTGCCTGATGAGGCCACCCCTTAGCAAAAAAGCCTATATTTAGTTATACTTTAAATGAGTCTATTACACGTATTGTTTTCGTATTGTTTTGTCCGCGTTCAAAAGGCACTTTCTGAAATACATTTTATTACATTTTCAGGTGTGATAAATATACGATTGAAAATATATTCTAAACAAATTAAAATGTATTCCTAAATGCACTAAGTGCAATTTTGGCGCGTCTCCCCAAAAATATAGTTCTCACTTGCATTAAATTACATTTTAGCATACCTTGATAGTACGTTCTATATCTTTCTTAAATAATCCTATTCAACATCCCACCCCACCTCAAAACTGCAAGACATCTAGTGCAGCAAATGCACCAAATAGTGCTCACGCATTAAAAGTAAACCAGAGACCCCTCCCAGAATGCAAGTCACATAAAAAAACTCTAAAACGCATTGAGCACTGCACACACATCGAAATTAGAAACTTGTTTATTGTGTACTACCGGTACAATGGTAAACTCTATCACAGCAGTCTTATCTCTTTTTTTTATACTAAGTTTTATATTTAAACAAAGTTAATTTCATTTTACTACAGAATGCACTTTTACGCTCAACAAAAGACAAGCACTTGCTACAAACCCTCACAAGTGCGACTAACAAAGAAAACGAAAAGAAACAACAGTGGAAACAGAACGTGTAACTGATGTCCTTAAAGTTAGGGAGAATAAATAGTTTCCTCGTGCACAACTTCTGGGACCCGAACGTCGCCCGGACACGTATGTAAGAAAACATTAAAAACAAACTCGAATACTAAAAAACGCTTTTCGAGAAAAAAATAAATAACGCTTTTCCATTCTGATGTTAGCCTGAGACTGAGGCAGGAAAAGAGGAAGTTTCAAAGTAGAAGAAAAAAAAGGAACAGTCGAGGATACGTCTCTAACACAGCTAAAGACAAGTTTATTCGGTCACCCTCTTATATACACTCCACAATCTTCACCACAGAACCTTCGCGACCTCCAAAGCCAAAAGATAACAAAGAACTCATCTCTTTCCACCACAATAATCAAACGACCTTGACAATCCTACAAAGCCCCCTCACCAACACAACCTATCTCCTCTCTCCCGGAAGACGATCGACCTTCGCGTACATAGCACACCCTCCTCCTCTCCTCCCCGGCCCACAAACCCGAAACAACCCGGCAACAAAAGATACCAATCCACCTGATCAAACCAAAGACACAAAGGAGGAAACCACTTACACCCTTTCACATTCAACAACCACTTAACAAAACTCTCAAATCCGCAAGAAGGTTTTTGCACTGCTGCTAAGCTGTAACGACACTTGACTAATGCAGTTGCCCATTGATTTCATTCTTATTGTTTCCTTTACAACCCTTTTGATGTCGTTTACTTCCCTGTGTATTATTTCTGTTTCAGACCAGCGTGGTATACAATTATTACATTCTTGAACATGTTTCGCTATTTCCGAATCAGTCGCGTTGTTTTTTACATTTCTTTTGTGTTCAGTCAATCTATCATTTATACACCTCGACGTTTGACCCACATACTTAAAACCACATTCTAGGGGAATTTCGTATACCACTCCATTATCACACGGAATAGACTTTTCTCGATGCATTTTTGTGCATTCCCTTACACTCTTGTGGAAGGGCGTGAGCTTACTCAATTTATAGTCGGAACTAAAAACCAGATCAACATCGAACTTTTTTGCACAAGCCTTCAAGTTGTGAGAAATTTTGTGATAGTACGGAATTACAGTAGTTCTATGTTTTGGCCTTTGCTTTGGTTCTGCTCTACATTTGTCTGCGAATTTTACGGATAACTGTTTCCCTACGAATTCATCCTGATAACCAGCACTGTTTAGCCTTCTCCACTGCCTTTTCACTGATTCAGCCAAGAAATGAGTACATGATCTGTCCATTGCATTTGTGATTAAAGGCGCACTCACTACAATATCATAAATAACGCTTGCCGCGTGCCGTCGGAATCCCGGAGAAAAGCTCACCGGAGAAAAGCTCACCGGATAAAGCTCACCGGAGAAAAACTCACCGGAGAAAAGCTCACCACAAAAGTGGCAGATGCAGAGAAAAAGCTCACTGGTCCCGGGGCACAGGCGGAAGAAAGCTCACCACTCTTTTTAATTATTTTAAAAGCGAAGCTCTTGGATGCTCCATCACATACAGCAACTTATTATACCATTATAATGAGCCAGGTTAATAACTTGAAACACTCTCTTGTTTTTGCAGTATTTGTGGAACCGATTAGGTACATTTCTCGCAACCATGTGTTACAGGCAAATATCTTCTGTAGGTTATTTAGTAGACACATAAAGCCTATCTGACAATTCTATGAACTTGGAGTGTAGAAAAAGTTGCAGAGCTATGCAGTACGTTTTTTTGTTAATTCGACCTCTACAGGACCGTGAAATTATGTCGAATAATCTCGAAGATCGAATTAAACCATGTGGGAATAAATGGGCAAATGTGTCCCGGGACTTTTGAACGCGATTGAATTACTCGAAATCGCATTAACAAAAACTTATTGTAACGTCCACCTGGGACAAGACAAAAGCGGAACTGTCAACAGTGCGACGCCTAAAACTCTCCTGGAAGCTATAGTAAGCATCCAAAACAGGACAAAGCGGTGATTAGAATGTCAAGACTTTTTTCCTTCACGCACTTGCCCGCTTTCTAGCCGTTCGTGCTTGTCTCTCCACGCGTTGCTTTTTTGCGATAGTGCCACCACGGGGACCTCCTATGACCTACATAGTTGCACACGGGGGTCGAAGCCTCAGATCTGTGCCGACGTTTCACTAGGAGGCCTGCTTCTACCTTCCACGCTAATTCAGAAGCAGAGTTCACGCCTTTTGTCGTGTTCTTTCTCGTGACTGATTTTAGATATTCCTTTGTCTTAAGCCCCTTTTATGCTAACTTCAAAGCAGGGTTCACACCTTTTGTTGTGTTGTTTCTCGAGGCTGGTTTAATAAATATATTTTTTTTATTAAGCCAAGCAGGTAGGATAAAAATATATTTTTTGTCGTTGAGCGGTTCCTTTTCGAATCGCACATTAAGAAAGTTTTGTCTACATCGTATTGGTTGATAGTGGTACAGTCGAGCGCTAATTCCTGAAGACGTTTGCTTTATGAAGCAAACATTTTAGCCGTATCTGTATTCTGAGTGATGGAGGTAATTCGTTCGAACAAGGATCAGGCGAAAGTTTTGCTTGACGGTTACGACTACGTGCAAAAGCGGTCAAAAAACGGGTGGATCCGGTGGCAGTGCTGTAAGCAGCGGACAGGCGGGTGCGAGGGAGCAATAACTACGTGCCATGCTGTGAGTATAACAATCCTTGCTTTGACAGCAGAAAATGGCTACGGTCTGGGGCATATTTCTATGTTTGTGTTGCAGGCTATTATCGGAACTCTAGTTTTCTTCACATTGTTGACCAGAATATAGGGTTTTACATTTATTTGGGGTAAAAATGATTTTGTGGATGTGCTAAGACTCTAATGTTTTATTCATTCATTGATTCTTTACTTTTCAAAATAATGAATGCTGCCTTTTAGCAAAAATATATCCTCTGAACAACGAAGATGCACCGCACGTACGTTTCAACAAAGAGATAGAGAGAGGTAAAATTTTGGATAGAACCATGATAAAGAACTGACCAAGAGTGCTCCTGTCCCAATATATCACTTCCGTCTATCCTTTCGTCCATAATACTTACTGGCCATTTTACAATTTTTCCTTCACGTGGAATTGGGCGAATATTCAATTTCCAGCGTGAAACGACTTTTACTGTTATCCAACATCATCTTTTTTTTAAATATTAGCAAATGAATATAATTTCCAAGCTGATATTTTTCGATGAAAAAGTAAGAACTTGTTGAATTATGAAATTTTAAACTGCCCCGGAGTTTTCTAAGTAAGCAACGTCTGATAAGGCGATCTTAATTTTTCGGCATTGCAGGTCACTCGCTTTTGGTCAGTGATGGAGCAGAACCATGCCAGCGACTTTGACGGCGTTAAGGTGACGAAGATAAGAATGGACCTGAAAAGAAAAGCGCGAGAAACGCCGGAACCAACAAGCAAGCTCTTGGCCCAGGCGTTATGCAGTCCGGAGGAGAAGTGCCACAACCGTTCCTCACTTATGACAACGGATCGGAGCGGCGGGACCGGATGCTTGTCTTCGCCAGCAGCGAGCAGCTCAGAGCCTTGAGCACGAGCCCAACCTGGTACATGGACTGGACGTTTTCAGTCTGCCCCCGGCTGTTTAAACAACTCTACGTGCTCAGGTGCGCAGTCGAGGAAAGCTCCGCCGCCTGCATCTACGCCCTCCTTGCTGGCAAGAGCCTCGCGATCTATGAAGAGCTTTTTCGGGCCGTCCTTGACGCATGCGAAGAGGTTACCTTCCAGACCCCAGCGTCATCGTGAATGATTACGAGATGGCTGCGGTCCGGGCAGTAAGGGAAGTCTTCGGGCCAGACTTTGCATCCAGTGGGTGTTTCTTTCATCTCTGCCAGAGTACCCATCGCAAGGTAATGTGCGGTCATACAGCTTCCAGTAAACAATGATTTCTATTTAATCTTTTATAGCAAAATATATTTAATATCATGTTATTGAAGGCTAACTGGGGTAATGTGATATACGATACGCAAGGAGAGTTATTAGGGTGCGGATGCGCAACGTGAAATTACCAATAAAAGTGTATTGTAGAGTTTCAAATGTGATGTTACCCCTCGCTCCTCGCATTTATGTGTATGCATAGGTGTTTGCTAATTTTACATTTCTGTTCACTACAGGTACGTGAGCTGGGACTGATCAACAAGTACCGGTCCGATGACGCCTTCAGGAAGGCTTGCGGGGTGCTAGACGGCCTTGCCTTCGTGCCTCCCGACCTTCTACCATCCCTACTTCAGCAAATTCGTGACATGGCACCCAACGACATGGCCGAAATACTCGCGTACTTTGACTCCACATACGTGAGAGGAACGTTTCGCACTGCTTCAAGAGCGGGAGCAGATGGACGACTGACAACCACCGTGCGCCGCCGAGGCCCCGAGTTTCCTCCGGAGCTCTGGAACGTCATGGAAGCAACGCTGCGAGGGGAGGACTGCACCAACAAGTAAACAACACCTGCGAGAGGTGGAACAACGCTTTAAACACCTCGTTGGGCATTTTCACCCGAGTGTTTGGAGGCTCATCAAGTGCCTGCAGCAAGACCAAGCGGTCGCCGGTACAACCTTGTTGCAAGTCGGCCGTGGAGAGCCGCCTGCTAAAAAGACAAGAAGGGAGACAAGCCGACTGCAAAGCCGACTACACCAACTCTGTACGGATTATTTGCAGCACAAGCAGCTACCCGTGCTCCTCGAAGCAGTTGGGCAGTGCATTCGTTTTGGAGCCAAAATTTTGACTTAGGTAAAAGCGATCTTATCACTAAATTGTTGCCCTTTTTACAGGTGTCCCATTTCTCTCTTTTTTTTTTTTTACTTTCGGCTTTATTAATAGACAGACTGCTGGATTCCTCACTTGCAAAAAGTATGCATGATAAATTTGATAAATATTACATAAAAATGTTATTTCTTTCTACTAAACTGACGAACTCTATATGAGTGAAAACGAAATGAGAAACACCACCTGACAGATTCTCTATGAAAAGAATAAAACATTCGGTGAGCTTTTCTCCACCTTGGCTCAGGGCCCGGTGAGCTTTTCTCCGCGTGTGCTTGTTTTTCGCTGACCTTTTCTTCGGTGAGCTTTTTTCCGGTGAGCTTTTCTCCGCCGCCCGTGCTGTCGATGGTGAACTGTCGTCCGTCCATTTCGTTCGGCGGCCGATGCCTGGAAATTTAAGCCGATAGAGACGGATTAGCGTTCGGCACTGGCAATGGCCGCAAGCAAAAGTGGTCGGTCTCCGCACTAAGTTTTTCGCCTTGTAATCGACTGGTCGTCATCCTGTCATCACGCGAAGGCCTGCAGATTCGCGATGACGTCCGGCACACCTGCTGATCTTCAGAGGGCACCGTAAAGTTCCACGAGAGGTGCCGCACAGGTTAGCCAGGCGGGTGGGACGATGGGCGCCATGTTGATTAAAACAGCCACATCATGATGGAAATCACCTCCTCGGCGCTTGAAAAGCCACGCAAACGGCCGGGAAACGTACCGTGCGCCTTACTCGTACATCCATGAAGATCATGATGTAGAAAACCAGAGACTTTGGTAAAAGCAGAGAAACTTAGTCGAAGAAGAAAGACAGGGGAAAAAACGTCTCAATTCTTCTTCGACTAAGTTTCTCTGCTTTTACCACAGTTTCGGGTTTTCTAAATCATGATCAATATCCACCAGCTCGCCAGCGCACTCACTGGTTTTTTCATTCATGAAGATTTCTAGGAACTTTTTGGCGATGAGTAGGCTCTTTTCCCGCTGAAAGGCTCGGCTACAGTTGACAGCGAGAAGTGGGCACATGGCAGCCATGATGAATAGGCCGTCACTTCATGATAGAAATGTGCCCCTCGGAGCTTGAAAAGTTAGGCGAAGGATCGAAAAACGTATCGCATGCTTTTTTTGAACAGTCATGGAGACTTCCAGGAACGTTTCAGCGAGGACTCAGACGTTTCCCGGCTAAAAGCGCAGAAACTCACGGAGTCGACAGTAGAGAGCAGGATTTAGTTGGCTTTCTACTACAGTGTTGCTAACCGTCAAAAATAATTCAGCTTTTTTATTCTCGTGAAGACGGAAGACCAGCGGAGCTGTATTCGATACACTGTGTGCTTCTTCTTCGTCGCCGTCTGTTTTTCGCGCTGTTTCCTACAATGAATTCCCACCAACGCACCCAACTATCCATTCTTCTTTTATAGCTGGAAAGGTTGCCGCCATCTACGAGCGATGGTGGAAACCATAATGGTTGTGTGCTTGCCGCCGTCACCTATAGGTGGCGGTAGCTGTCCAGGTAGGTTTGTGTCGACATACACGGACACGATCCTGGGGAACCTAGCCCTTAACAGCTCCGCTGTAAAAGAAAAAAAAGCGTGTTTTTTAAGATTTGGAGATTAAGATTAAAGTAAGTACATCAAGAAAACTTCTTGTTCAAAATTTGCCGTGATTTTGGAGGTCAAGTTTCGTCGAAGTCTACCTCGTGTATTATTTGTCTTTTTAGGCACCTGAGAAACAATATAGTTTAATAGTGAGCGAATCTAATTCATATTAAGAAAATTGTATTTGAAATGCATTTCGTTTAAACCATCAAAGTAGTTATGCATTTAAATGTATTTGACGTGTACGCAATGTAATTATTTTAATGCACATATTTTTGCGTACTTTTAGAAATACATTTTATTAGTAAGGGATAAACTGAAGATTGTATTTGTGTGTACTTTAATGCATTAGAAATGATAAAAATGCATATAAAGTGCATTAAAATGCATTTAGACAGATTTAAAACCCATTATCTTTCGCTAAGTGTTTACCAGGTCTATCTTTGAGTAATGGCAGTATCCTTAAAAAAACAGTGTAGTCTTGAAGCCGGCAACCCTCAAACGAAGTGTTACCAACACGGCACTCATATCAGCGCTGCGGAAGTCATGCAACCACCAAGCAGACGCTAGCTTTCACAAACAGATGGCCCGGCTTCGTGACTCTGGGTATCCTGATGTCCTCCTTGGAAACGTATGTGAGATGATATGCAGAACACTTTCAAGAGGATCACTAAGTTCCGAGTTAGATAGACAGACTCCACTAGAGAACTTCGCGGTAGTCCCCTAAATTTATGGTGTCACCCACCGACTCAAAAATATTGCTGCACGACAGAGTGTCATGATTGTGTGCTCGGCACCAAACAGAGGGAACTCTATGTGCCGCAGAGTAAATCAGGCCAAGAACCGCCAGCCAACCTGCAGCACTGCGCACAGGACTAAGTACGCCATTTGCCAGACCGGCGTTGTGCACAAGATTCCAATGGCATGTGTTAGCTGCTACATTGGGCAGGCAGGGGGCTGCATTAACGACAGAGTCAGGAAGCACGCGGCGTCGGCCCAGGGAACGGGGGCTGGACACCTTGCATCCCATTGCCGGATGTGCGGGTGCAGGCCAAGTTTTAGCAGCGTTTCCATTGTTAAGAGGCACAGAAATGCTTTTGCGCGCGAGATTCTCGAGGCCCTGGCCATTGAGAAAAGCGCCGATGTCTGCGTGAGCATGCCCTCCATCACGGTCAGCAAGAAAGAAATGCAGCTTTTGCAGTGTGGAAGGGCCCGCGAAAAAGAATGAGTGATATGTGACGACGGTGGTTTGTAGGTTAGGTCAGGGAGGTGGTAGTGACTACATTTATTAATTTAATGTAATGAATTTATTTCATTTTTATTTTCATTTAATGTTTGAATTTAGTAGCGTAATGTAAAGATTTAGGGTGATTTATTGGCATTACTTTAGGTCAAATTGATGAAGAAGAAGTATAAAGTCTCAGTTGATAGTCAGATGTGTGTATGTCGCTGTTTCCATTTCTCCCTGTCTGTGTTTTGTCCCTATCGTCTAGCTGACCGTTTACTTTTGAAGTAGTCTTGAAGATAACACATTAAAAGAGCCTCCGTTTTGGCTTTTAGAAATGTTTAGTGCAGGATTGAACATTGTGGGCACCGGTCAGAAATCGTAACTGTGTCCAGGACCCTATATTAACAGCATGCTCGCCAATCGCCGCTCTTTTTTTACACCGTGTCCAGAGCGAACGTTACAGAGACTAGAAGATGGGCCTACGACTTCGAGCTGGAAAATATAGGCTCGAATTCCTGCCGTGCGACTTGCAGCTTTTCAGGTCCGAGTCGACGTGATCGGCAATGGACAGGCTGGCCAGTCGCAGCGAAATAGTGAGTGACGTCATGCCTAAGTACTTCGCCTATGCTCTGTGGCTTGATGAGGTTTGGTTAGTTCTCGAGAAGATTGGCAAATGAATTAGAAGGCGGCTCAGTGAAAGTGGGGCTAAGAGTTACAGCTCGAGACGCAATACCAGAGACTTGTAGGTGAATGGTCGCATCAAACAGCCTTTTTTGGGTTATGTCCCCACAGATGTCGAAGGTCTGAAGGAAATCTGCTCCAATTATTGCGTAGCACACGTCCACTACACGAAAAAACCACTGGAAACGTCGTCAAAAGCCGAAGTTCAACGTCCGTGATTTTTGGGGGAACCGTTGACAGCTGACAATGACGTAGATTGGGCGCGGTTTCAGCGATCGAAAGGTGAGACGGGAATGATGCTGAACTCAACGTCTGTGCCCACCAAAAACACGGGTGCCGACGATCTTGTCGTGGATTGCAAAGAGGCGACTGTTGTGCCGATATGGGTCGCTCGCCGCCTCTAGCGTTCAGCCGTCCTGCTTTTCGGGTTCCAGGAACAGGAAAAACAACAGTGGCGGGCTTCCGATCGAAACTGTCGGTGGTACGAACATGGCGACTTGCCTTGAGGGTGATGCGATGGTGATGCCAGACGGTGATCGCCGCGACCGCAGTGTTGCTATGTCGATTGAGCATGGTGTTGGGATTCCCGCCAAAGCTCGGACACGGCGGTCGTCAGGTTCTGTACGTCTCGACGGAGCTCAGCGAACGTCCGCACTCAGGCATGGAGACTGCTCTGTTACGCCCATGGTGGGGACGGAAAAACCATAATTTGATCCGCCAACTCGGCGAGTTTTACAAGCGGAAGCCTGTGGACTACCACTAGGCCGTCACAAACAGAAGCCGGCTGACGTTGTAGAAAAGCTGACGGAGGATGGCGGCGTCGATGGAGGCCGCCTTGTCGCCCAACAGGTGTTGCAGGTGTCGCATTAGCTAGTTTTGGTCGACGGTCGCCTAGCTCTTCTGCGCGGAGGAACTGCTCAAGGCGTCGTTGCTCAGAGGCGACGAGAAGACTGAGCAAGGCTTCTTTGAGAACGTAGTAAGGAAGCGTCACCGATCGGGGAAAGTAGAATACCCCGCGCCTCAGTAGCGGCTTGCGGCGGGAAGGCGTCACTGAGGAGTTCATACTGCTGGGTCTGGGAGGCTACACGGCGAAAGCGGAGATTGTTTTCCACTTGCACCAACCAGGACGCTGGATCCTCGGCCCAGAACTTCGGCAGAGTGAGGACCGCGGTAGCTGCGACTCCCAAGGTGGCGCTAGCTTGGGAAACACTTGCCGGGGCCACTTGCCGGTGGGGCAGGCTCACCAGACTCCGTAGACAGGGCATGATCACGTCCGGATCGCCAATTAGGTAGAAACAAGATATGTTTCCCCAACATGTTTTATGTCCAATATTTACGGGAGAAAGTAAACTGTAGTGTGCATCACTCGATGTAGCCACCCGGCCGCTGGGTCGCCAAAGGCTGATGCTCGTGGTGTCTCGTTCCGTCTGCTCGCGCCGACCGGCTTTTTTTTTATAGTTCCGGTACCACACTCTAAGAAAAAAGTTGGCCTCAAGTAACTAACTGCAGCATTTGGTCCTCTGAACTCCCAGTTGCTCCCCGAAAGGACCATCTGGTTCAAGCTAGGTATCGTGCGCAAAAGCCGGGGACTAACTGCGCTCGACTGGGACTAACCGATAGGCGTGCGCGAGCAAAAGCAGCCATTAGTCGCCGTCAGACAGGCTGCATCTGTATGATCTATTCCCCGAAGGCAAACGTAACGTTCGCCAAGAGGACGAATGATTTTGCGCTTGTCTTGGGGATCGGCGAGACTCAGCTCAGCACGGCTGAAAGTGTTGACAAAACTTGGACGAAACTGGCGAATTTGTTTAATGTGCCACGAACGTTGAGACATTACATGATAGAGCTTCGCGCGTTGTGCGAATGCGAGTTAACGAATGTGTTGACTCTACTTCACC